GGCTTTGCTTTCGTGCTATTTTGGTACTTAAATATAAAGAAAAAAAATTTTTTTACAAGCAAATGGAGGATTTTTAAAATAAATGTGGACCTGACTGTCCTTCTTCTTCCACCTTCTTCTCCTTGTGCTGTGAGTCCAAGGATTTATCTGCTGCCTATCCCATATTTCCCGTTTTGACCATTTTTAAGGGCCTGACAAAATGATTGATTGATTGATTGCAGAGGTGCCCCCAAGTGGTGAAAAAAAAATAATTCAATTTATCATTGATTTTCTTTGCTCACGTATCTTGCATTTAGTGTGCTTTGTCTTGTGATTGGTCAATGGTTATGGGAAGCTAAACATGGATTGATTTGCAAGGTGGGTTGCTGACTCGTATATCAGTGAGAAAATCCAAATGTCCTATAGACATCTGAACAGCCCCTCAACAGAGCAACCCACTTTCCCTGCTTAATTCTTGTGCAAGGCTGGCGTTCTCCTGGGTGCTTTCTTTTCAACTAAAACCCTTGTGCGGAAAGAGAGCAGAAAATGTAGACCGGGGGGGGGGCGTATGTGTGAATTGGGGCCTTAGTCTTGACAGAATCAGGAAGGAGAAAACCATTGTGACGTCAGATCCATTAACAGAACAGCTACCTGATTTTTGTTTACATTTTTTTCTTGATCAGATGTGTTTTACTACAACTCCCATCCTGCCCGGACTGATGGGATTTGTATTCAAAATATCTCCAGCAGGGTGCCTGGTTGAGGAAGGCTTTGTCTGGTCGGTAAAATGAGTACCCAGCTTGCTGGGGGGGGCAATGTGTAGCCTGCATAATTAAATTGTAAACCGCCCAGAGAGTGCTTGAAGCGCTATGGGGCGGTATATAAACAGCACGCTTTGCTTTGCTTTGCTTTGCACAATCCAACCCATGGATTTGATTCAGGTTGAAAACAGTCAAAGAATGGCAAGGCAGGTTCACTGTGAGTCAATCTACGTAAATGTCACAGCGGATTTATATTCCCTATGATTGACCTGTTTTTCCCCTCCCGCATTTGGATTTTCTCATCGATATACGAGTCAGCAACCCGCCTTGCAAATCAATCCATGTTTAGCTTCCCATAACCATCGACCAATCACAAGACAAAGCACGCTAAATGCAAGATACGTGAGCAAAGAAAATCAATGATAAATTGAATTATTTTTTTTTCACCACTTGGGGGCACCTCTGCAATCAATCAATCAATCATTTTGTCAGGCCCTTAAAAATGGTCAAAACGGGAAATATGGGATAGTTAGCAGATAAATCCTTGGACTCACAGCACAAGGAGAAGAAGGTGGAAGAAGAAGGACAGTCAGGTCCACATTTATTTTAAAAATCCTCCATTTGCTTGTAAAAAAATTTTTTTTCTTTATATTTAAGTACCAAAATCGCACGAAAGCAAAGCCGCCACCTTTTAATCCTGGGTAAATCAATACCACCCCTCTTAGGGACATTGCCTGTCTTGGGTTCTGTTTTCCCAGATCCTCTCCCTGGAGAATCGCATCCTGGAGGTCGAGCTTCACCACGAGAGGACCGCCGGGGAGCGCGAGGCCTTGCACGAGCGCCTGCGCGCCCTGGAGGCCAACCGCAAGGAACTGGCGGAGGAGTACCTCGCCCTGAAGAGCAACTACCTTGCGCTGGGCAAGGAACACGAACAGGAAGTAGGGGCTGCTGGCGGCGTCCCTCTCTGATGCTACGGAGGAGGGTGGGGTGGGCGGCAGGGATGTCCCCCAAGTCCCGGGTCCTGAGTCCGAATCTTTGGTACCAAGTTCTGAATCCCAAGCCCGAGTCCCTCTTAAGAACAAGATTCCCCCCCAGGAAAAAAGGGAAGGGTGGTTGGAGTTCTGAGTCATTGGGGAAAAAAGAGTCGAGTTCAAGTTGAGTCACTGTATGACTCAAGTCTGATTTAAGAGTGAGTCCGACGACTCAGGTCCCCATCCCTGGTGGGCAGCACGATGCCCCCGGATCTCAAGGAACGCCACGTCATTTTTCAAGGCCTCTGGCTTCCCTCGGACGATTCATACAATCAGAATCATGCTCGAGAAAACACTGTTTTCCTTTAAATCCTTTGGCATGCCTGGGGCCAAAGGTTCACCCCAAGACCAGCCATGGGCTGGTCCAGAAAAGGGCCAAATATGCCCCCCAAAATAATCCACACTTCCCTAGAGCACCCACAGCATGACGGGTTCTCAAGTTACTAACCTTGGAAGGATGGAAGTCTGAGTCAACCTTGAGCTGGTTGCCTGGGATTGAACCCTGGGTCGTGAGCAGAGTTTTGGCCGCAGTATTGCAATTTAACCCCTGCGCCATGAGGCTTACACTTTCCTACCACAGCACGAAGCTCCAATGGAGTTTAGTTCTTTCCTTGCCTAGCAGGGAAACAGGCCTTTCTCTTTGTGTGTGATTCTGCCTTGATAGAACCTGGAAAACCACTATTTAGCACCAGGTTCGCTGTTCAGTCTGAACTATGGAGAGTTAAGGGTCCCACCATGTTCTTGATCAAGCTGTTCTCCTGCAGGTCGCTAAGAATGAAGAGCTGAGCTTAGAGCTCCTCAATTTGGCCGACGCCAGGAGTTCCCTTCCAAGGATCCAAGCCAAGGATCCCAAATCCCAAGTTCAGCCTGACGAACCCTCTGATGAGCTGAAGCGGGTGAGGGCTTTGGTCCACCGTCTCTCTGCCCGCAAAGTGAAGGTATATATCACAGGGCTTATCCTCTGTGCTTTAAACATACAGTAGGGACCCCCATGTCCAGTCGATCGATAGCCACGTTTTCGCTTATCCACTGTCATGACTTGCAGAAGTACGGAGAGAGCGCCACCACGCACTGCCATTTTGCTCATCCAAAGGCTTTGGAACCAACAACCCTAGGAACTCTCTTTTGGTAAAAAATTGCTGCGGAGAATTTTCTGATCAAGATCCCAACCCTGCTCCTTGCTAGAAGGACAAGAACCCACAGTTCTTGGGTCATCAGTTGATAGCAACTTCAACCTATTTAAGTCTAGCTTCTCTGATAGTCTATCTCCCATTTATGCACAATAATCTAATGGAGGCATCATCCTGGTGTGTTTTATCGCCCTTAGCCAGAAGACGTGGTAGCTTCAGAACATGAACGGCGGAAACTGGAGAGAACGGTGAGTACGTGACCCTTCAGCAGAGCTTAAGCATCTCGTGTTTTGGGACTACAACTCCCAGAATCCCCCAACCAGCATGCCTGCTGACTTGGCTGAGCAGGCTGGCTCGGGTTTCCCAAGGAGGAGGAGGAGGAGGAGGCAAGTGTCAAACTGGCACAGCTTTGCTGGCTGGTGGATTCTGGGAACCGTAGTCCAAAAAAAAAGGTGACTTTTACAAAGTTCAGGACACCACCTGGTTTTCTCCCTCCTCTGTGCCAGCTTTTTGGAAGCCAAGATCATCTCAGCACCGAGATCGAAAGGATGAAAGAAATGTACAACTCCCAACAACAGAAATTAGAAGACCGAGTGTAAGTAAAATGGGGAGGTTTCTCCTTAGAGGAATCCTCAGAACCGTAGTCCGGGAATAGTGCTGGAATTGCTCTGTAAAAGCTTCCTTAGTTCTCACCTTTTCAAACACCACAATTTGCAAAGTTTCCTGGAAGGGAGAAGGACTATTAAAGCCGCTCTGATGTGCCTCTCCGTTGTTCCTCATGTCCCTCGCATGTGCAGGGTGGCCATGGGGAAGGAACTGCAAGAGGCCAAAAAAGCCATCCGGAGCACGCAGCACAAGCTAGCGGAGCAGTCAGCGGTAAGAGGAGTCTACCAGCCTTTCCGTTGCAATTAAAATTTGGGACTGGGGAAGGAATGCCAAGATTGGGGACTGAAAGTCAGAACAGAAACACACACACACACACCCCCTCAAACAGTGTGTTTGTCCGTCTACTGAAACCCATTTTTGGCTTGAGGCTTTGAGATCACGTTATCTAACGCAGGGAGATTGTGGTACGTGTTTTTACTTGGAAGGCCCAGAATCTTCCAGCCAGCAGCATCAGCAGCATCACGCCGGTTGCAGGATTCTGGGAGTCTCAAAGAAAGGAGGTTCCCTCATCTCGGATCCTGCCTGGTCATCAGAACCACTTTTGATCTGCCCGAACTACAGGTTCTGCTCTCATCCCAAAGCCAGCTTCGAGAAGCAGAGGCTGAAAATTCCCGGCTACAGTTGAGGCTGAAGGAACTCAACGAGGAATACCGATCGCGGCTGGTTCAGTACATCACGGACCTGGCCGTAAGGGGCTCCTTCTGGGTGGCTGGAAATCAGGGATTTTTCGGGGTGGTGGTGGTGGGGTGGTCTGGCCTCCCTCCAGACCAGACCTTAAACTCTGCAAGAGGAAACCCCCCCCAGCCTGTGTCAAGGGACCCTAACATGGACAGCTGGGATTAGATCCTCAGGGTGCACGACACCTCCTTTGGCTTCTGAGGTTCAAGCCTTTTTTCTTGTGTGTCAAGGACTATATAGACAGCAAGTCAGCTGCTGCAGCCACAGAGGGAGGCCAAGCCCCTCGGGAGACGGTTCAAATGAAGCGCTTTGTAGACAACATGTTGAAGGACATCCGGGCCTCCTACAAGTCACGGGAGCAGCAGCTGGCCGGAGCCGCCCGGGGGTACAAGAAACGGATGCAGAACTTGGTCAAGAGGCACGAAGGGCTGCTGATCGCATACAGGTAAATGCTGATGGGCCTCAGATCCGTCCCTAAAAGCAAGGGATGAAATGGTTGACGATTCCTCTGGAATCATCATGGGAAAAGCTGAGGGCAACAGGAAAAGAGGAAGACCCAGCATGAGACGGGCTAGTTCTACAAAGGAAGCCACCAAAATACAGCAAAATACATGTCATAGGATCTCTCTTTGGGAACCCTGCCCTTAACCTCCAGAGCCGGCATCAGCTGGCGTTGCTGCGAGAAATGGCCTTTTTAAAAAAGGAAGCTGAGAGCCTCTGGTTACTAACTTCCACATCTGGTGTCACACCTTTATGGTGTGTGCTGCCCCCCCCCCGCCCCGGTTGCACACAATTCTGGAAAATACATGGTGGGCACAGCAGTTTGGCTTAGATGAAACCTTCGGGCTCAGCTTAGGCGTCCAGGTGTCACTGTGAAGGCAGTGATCTAAGCCAAACAGCAAAATCCGTTAACCCTCTTCTTGCTGGTGACAGGCTGCAGCGGGAACAGATCCGGTCGCTGGGCAGTCCCGACATGGATCCCGGCCCACCAGAACACCATTTCACCATCACGGATGCCGAGCTGTTGACCAGCACCTCTCAAGAGCTGAACCGGTTGAGGGAGGACAAAGCCAGCTTAGAAGGGCAGCTGTACGAACTGCAGATGAAGGTGAGGTTCAACGGAAGCGGTTCCTTTCCCTTCATCCAGGGAAGGTGTTTAAGATTTTTTAAAAATTCCTTTCGACCTATGGACATCCTAACCTCCTTAATGGATTAGATTTCCAGGAGAGACTTTCTCCATAGCTAAACATTTACATCTGTTCAGAGATGTCCGAAAAACGACTCGGCTAGAACGCAAAAATTCAACAGACGAAGCTGTCTCCTTTGACCACCCCGTTTCTGTCCTGGTAACAGCTTTGTTGGTTGAATGTCATGTTTCCGTCAAAGGCATGTCTGTGTGTATACACATCAGTACAGTGGTGCCTCACTTTACAATTGCCTCGCGGATCCCGGCCCACCAGAACACCATTTCACCATCACGGATGCCGAGCTGTTGACCAGCACCTCTCAAGAGCTGAACCGGTTGAGGGAGGACAAAGCCAGCTTAGAAGGGCAGCTGTACGAACTGCAGATGAAGGTGAGGTTCAAGGGAAACGGTTCCTTTCCCTTCATCTGGGGAAGGTGTTTCAGATTTTTTTAAAATTCCTTTCGACCTACGGACATCCTAACCCCCTTATTGGATTTTAGATTTCCAGGAGAGACTTTCTCCATAGCTAAACATTTACATCTGCTCAGAGATGTCCGAAAAACGACTCAAAAATTCAACAGACGAAGCTGTCTCCTTTGACCACCCCATTTCTGTCCTGGTAACAGCTTTGTTGGTTGAATGTCATGTTTCCGTCAAAGGCATGTCTGTGTGTATACACATCAGTACAGTGGTGCCTCACTTTACAATTGCCTCGCGTTACGACGAAACCGCATTACAATGATCTTTTTGCTATCACAATTGCGATCGCAAAATGATGGTCTGAATGGGGTTTTTTCACTTTTCGATGATCGGTTCCCTGCTTTGGCAACCGATTCTTCGCAAAACAACGATTTTCCTCCAGCTGATCAGCGGTTTCAAAATGGCCGCCAGGTAAATAAAATGGCTCCCCGCTGTTTTCTGGGACGGATTCCTTGCTGCACAGGCACCGAAAATGGCCACCCTATGGAGGATCTTCGCTGGAGGGTGAATTTCCAACCCACTGGAACGCATTTAACAGGTTTTAATGCGTTTCAATGGGCTTTTTATTTTCGCATTACAACGTTTTCGTTCTACAGCGATTTCGCTGGAACGAATTAACGTCGTAATGCGAGGCACCACTGTATATGTGAGCCAGTGTGGTTTCACAGATGGAACATCTGACAAGAACTAAGGGGTGCTTTGGTTGAATGTCATGTTTCCGTCAAAGGCGTTTCTGTGTGTATGCACATCAGTATATGTGAGCCAGGGTGGTGTCACGGATAGAACGTTTGACAAAAAGTGGGTTCACCTCCCTGCTTGGCCACAGAAACCCACTGGAAGGGGACCAAGGCAAGCCACTTAAACATCTCAAACAGCTGGAAAACCCTACAGGGTTGTCTTAAACTCAGAAAAGACCTGGCAAGATACAACAACAGCAACAACACACATACATGTACACCCACCCATCTTTTATATGTGCATCTCAAAATGTTTGCCACCTTCATGAACTCTTGAGTTAACTGGAATGGCCTTAGATTTAGCCAGAACAAGCGTCGGTCCTTATCCGGTTTATGAAAAGAAGAGCGGAAAGAAACGATCCAGAAACAAGAAGCCTGCTTGTCCTTTTAAGTCCATCTTGGTGGGATTCCTCAACCAGATCTTGGGAAATCTACTTTAAAAGAACTGTTCCTCAAATCTCTTGGCCAGCAAAAGGCCACCAGATCCCACCAGATCCAGACAGCTTGGAAGGTCAATGGCCGGGCTACTGTTTCTGGATTATCAGGCCCAGAACTCTTGAAGTTTTTCAGTCCAGTCATAGTTGGGATTTCCAAAGTGGGAAGAGCTTTCTTTCCCCACTGACCTAGTGATCCAACTCAACAGCTTTTTTTTTAAGAAACTATCTTTTGTTGCTGTTGCTTTGCAGGTCAAGCTGAGCGAAAACGCTGGCTTGAGGACATCACCTCCACAGTGAGTAGAGTATATTACAGTAGGCGGTTATACTTGGCTATCGGATGTATCTCCCATCCTTTGCAGGGAACACAGCTGTAAAAGTTTGTTTTTTATTATTGTGAGTTTTCATGTGGTGTAAATTGCCCAGGGTACTGCTGGCACTAATGGGGGAGTATATCAATGAATCAAACCAAGAAATGTCTGCAGATGGGGCTTCACTCCCTGTTGGCTACCGCTGGGTCTTGTGAGACTGATATTATGGGGAGAGAAGTGATAAGAGGAACAGAAAGATGTCTGGGTCTGACCCTGACAGCTGTAGAGGATCCTTTCCAACTGCAAAAAGGGAACTTTGTGTCCTTTCCCCATGTTGGCACCCTCTACGTTTGGGTGGTACCCAGCGTGGTGTAGTGGACAGAGCGATGGATTTGGACTCTGGAGACCAGGGTTCGAATCCCCACTCAGCCACGGAAACTCACTGGGGGAGTGGAACTGGTAAACCCACTCCTTAAATAGCTCATTTATCCTGGGCATAATAAGTCTGTTCCGACATGATGGCTCATAACTAGAATTTGACATCCTGGATCAAAACCCTGGTTGCTCCCATCCCGGGTCCAGCTTTGAAGCCCTGTTCCGTCTGCAGGGATATTTCTGTTCCCACCCAGAAGAGCGTTCTGCCCCCTTTTCATCCAAAATGAACAGTAAAGACCCCCCCCCAAACCTCTCACAGCAGTCTGAAATGGTAGAAGCGGCCAACTAGAAATGGACGTCAGAGTGGACAATTCTGACGATTGTCCGGGATCCTTCCACGGGCTGTAGGGAAAAACCTCCTCAGATGGCTGGAAGTCCAATTAGTCATGGGGGGCGCTAAACGACTAAACACACACACACAAAGGAATGCAACAGAGGGCTGTGGCCTATTTTGCAGGCAAATTGCCAGCCATAAAGAAAGCAGACCGCCGAAGAATTGATGCCTTTGAATTGTGGTGCTGGAGGAGGCTTTTGAGAGTCCCCTGGAGTGCAAGGAGAAGAAACCTATCCATTCTGAAGGAAATCAACCCTGAGTGCTCACTGGAAGGACAGATCCTGAAGCTGAGGCTCCAAGACTTTGGCCATCTCATGAAAACAGAAGACTCCTTGGAAAATACCTTGATGTTAGGAAAGTCTGACGGCGAGAGAAGGGGATGACAGAGGATGAGATGGCTGGACAGTGTCTGCGAAGCAACCAACGTGAAATTGACACAACTACAGGAAGCAGTGGAAGATAGGAGGGTCTGGCGTGCTCTGGTCCATGGGGTCACGAAGAGTCGGACACGACTAAACGAACGAATGAAAAGGGCCATCGCTTGCTCACCTCAATCAACACAACACAGCAAGAAGCCACGACTAAACGACTAAACGAACAAATGAAAAGGGCCATCACTTGCTCACCTCAATCAATACAACACAGCAAGGAGTAGGACTAAATCAGGTCTGGGGCCTGTGCTTGGAGCCATGATAGGTGCTGCAGCTATCCGTAAAGTGTGCAAACCCAGAGAACAGCACAAACCAGCCCTTGAAGAGCGTGGAATTGATGGTATCGTCTTCATTGTGCTGCAATTAATTATGCACACACAGACTGGGAGCACAGCTAGCAGAGATCAGATATTCTCTCATCTGCACTTCCAATCACACCTTCCTCTCCTCCTCCTCCTTCCCCCCATACATTTTCGGATGGGTTTTTTTCTTTTTTGCTGAAATACAGGAAAATAAGAGTAATTTTCTTTTCAACAGCCAACCTACCCTCTCAGGGGCGCTCTTGTGGCCTTCAAAAGCTCCTGTGTATACAAAGCAGAGGCACAATGCGTTCCTCAGTTCACGCCATCCTTTCTATACAGTCCGAAGAATTCTTCCCCCAAAAGATCAAATGTGACCTATATTTTGCTGATGCAGTCCCCGGACGGACGGGAGAATTTTCCCACGGCTTGCCTGCATATTTGCTCCCAGTGAGATCGCCTCTCCGCGCGGCTTAAGCCACCACCAGTGAAATAAGTGGATTTTCCCATAAGCACAAAACAAGCAAAAATTAAGAAGAATGGACATTTCTCACTGACTGGAGCCCCCCCTCCCCCGTTTCAGAAAATGCTTCGCTTGTGCAAGTAACCACGACTCCTAACGAGGTTTTGTAAATTACTCCTTTCACTCTCTCTGCAGGGAGATGAGTGTCCCTTCCCCATTTAAAGATCCTTGTTCCTGTTTAGCCATGCTTGTAATGATGCTTGTTTTGGTTTTAAGAGCACAGCGACTACCTGATGCTCCATCAGCAGAGCATTATCTACCGATCCTTCCCTAACCGGTCAACCCCGCCCCTCAAATCATCCCACGCTATGCTTTCTGAGAAGGATGGGAGTTGTAGTCAAATTCCTCAATAAGATGCTCAGCCTCAAGCATCCCAGGGGTTGAATCCGACTCTCTGGAATTTCCTTGAGTAGCCATTCCTCTTTGTGACCCCATCATCTCATGCCTTTTCAGCTTACGTCATGTTTTTACCACTCCTTCTAAAAAAGGGGACATTCCTCTCTCGAGATACAGTAAAAGCGTTGGGTTAAAATATGTTGGTATTTTTGGCATCATTTTTTTGCCACTGTCCCCATCCATCCCCAGAATGGGGCCCTTAAGAATTTATCCCGGATTGGAATCAGTCCACAGGTTGGAAGTGGCTGCCCACCTTTGGTGTACGCTGCCCGATGCAGGTTCTTTCTAGGTTTACAGTTTCTAGATCCCAGTCCAGCCTGGAGATGCGGGGGAATCTGGACTTGGCATCTTTTGCACAGAAGCACATGCTCCACCGCTGCGCTCGAGACTTTGGTGGCCCTCTTCTCCATCAGCCCCTTGTCACTGACGTCATGGCCCGTTGGCCTTTCTTCTTCTGTACCCAACCCACAGGGCGTCCAAGGAGTAGAGGGCGTGGAGGCGCAGAAGCCATAAAGATCCGTGTTCTCCTTGCTCCCGTCGCCTATCAATGCCTGCTTCCACAGAGAGGCGAAAAGGGAGGGACTGCCGGACTGATCGTTGGCCAAGCCAAGGGTCTCCAGAGATTGGCAGCAGGCTGTCTGTCTGTCTTTGGCAGGTGTCCGATGGGGTCACAGTGCTGGTGGTGCACCTCCAGGCATGGAGAAACGTACATCCACAGCAGGGAAGTATAAGACTAGTTCACGCTTCACCGTAAGGTGAGCAAAACCTGACCTTCCAGATGCTTTCGGCTTTCAATTCCCATTTGCCTTAACCAGCACTGAATTTCACTGTACTGTATGAACATCTGGAGGGCCAGAGGTGCTCAGCCTTACTGGAAGGGATCAGGGCAGAAGGCAACATTGTGGTTCCTTTAAGCTCATATCTGCTCCTTTTTTTTCCTTCCTAGCACACTGGATGAAGCCGGCTGGGCTGAGCTCAAGAAGCAGCTACGGGAATTCACTCACACCACACAGGTAAAATGCTCCCCCTCCCCCCCAAAAAAGGCACATCAATGCATCAATGCTGTGTGCATCTTCCAAGGTTTGCTTCCACTGCATGTACCCAGCTCCAAGCCTTTCCCCCTCCAAGCCGAAAAATGCAGAAATATCAAATGCTATATACTGAATGGTCTCTGGCTCCCTCTAGTGGCCAGTTCTGGTAAATACACCTTGGAAATACATATTTCTGGCATTTTTGATTTAGTATTTTCAGGCAGTGGATAAGTGAATCAGCAGATACCGATCGCACAGATGGTGTGTGTGTGTTTCTCCTACTATATTACCTTTCCAGTGTATGTCACGTCAATTCGACATGAGAGCCCATGTCGTGTAAAGATTAACAGTGCTGGGTTAAGCCTCGGGAGACCTCGGTCCTCACTCAACTGTGAAGGTCACTGGGTGACCTTCTTGAGTTAGTTAGTCACTCTCTCTCAGCCTGGCCTGCCTCACAAGGCTGCTGGGAGTACAAAGCGGGAAGGAGCATACTGTCCTGAGCTAATGAGAGGAAAGGTAGGATAGAAGTGTAAAAAACAAATGTCTGAAATCCACAAGTGTAAGAAACAGATGCTGACATTTTCTTCTTGACACTCTTTCAGATTATGGGAAACATGTATACATTTTCAAATATCATTTTTTTTCTTTTTAAAGAGAAAGAGGGATAGAAAGGAAGGAAGGACATTCAAAGCAACGGCCAAGTCCTACCTGAATTTAGACACAAGGAGATCTTCCCTAACCTGAGGCCTCTGAAGTCAGTGGCAGAGTAGCTGCTTCTGAAGCGCAAAAGAAGTTCTGTTTTGTCGATCCAGCAAAAGCAGAAGGACAGGCAAAGTAACCCTTCTCCCAGCTTTGGAAAGGAATCCAGGAGAATATTTCCCCTTTCTTCATGGCGAACTCCCGTGGATAAGCTCTCAACCTCCTCCCCCCCCCACTAGACATGTGACATAGCGATTTAACAAAATCCAAATGTTTTGCCAAGAACAACTTTGGCGGGCTCCAATCTTGTTCATACCCTAGGCAGACCTTATCACTGTGCTTAGTTTTAACCTTTATAAGTCAGTTTGTAGGCCCAACTTTTATTGTCCTTCTGCAATTTCAGGAGAACTTGGAAAAGGAGAGGAGCCGGCTGCTAGCACGGGCCACGGTGGCGGAAGAACAAGTAGCTGAGTTGCAGGAATACGTGGATAAACATCTCGGAAGGTGAGGCTTTGAAGGTCCTGCTTCCCCAGTGTGGGCCTGGAGGGTGCACCATTCTGCTCTGGTCTTCTCCCATCTTTCCTTGTCCTCCTCACTGTGCATTTCCGTAACACTTCCTGCTATTCAAAGAGCTTCGCCTCTATGATGTGGCTGTTATTATCCTCCTTACTGCTGACGAGGTGGAAACTAACACCAAGAGGGCAGCTTGCTTAAGACCATCTCATGAATCCACTTAAACCTGCCTTAAGTGATAACTGCACACTCCAACTTCTGTGTCTGCTGCATATTCTAAACACTTGACATTTCTCAAGCTGCTAGGCCTCATCAGCCAAGCTCTTGCCCCTGTCATTGGGTTACTAGCACTACAGGACTTGATTTAACACTGTTTCTGTCGTTCTGTTGTCGCAGATACAAACAGGAGATCCTGAGGCTGCGAAAATTCATAGGGACAGATGGTCTCCGAGCATTTAGTGCTGGAGCTTCCGATTCCCCAGTGGCTTCAAAATCCAAGAGGAATTTCAGCAACGAAGCATAGCATCTGCATCAGAAGCTAAGGGAGGAATGTCCTCATAGCATCCTCACGAGGCCTCACATCCTGAGCTGGACCGACACACCTGGTGTCCTCTTGCCGCCAAAGCATAGTTCATGAAGGAGGATCAGCAACGATTTTTGTTCTTAATTTTTCCATCCTGTTCTCCCTTCAGAGCTCACTAGCAGTGCCCCCCAAGATTCTCTCCTGTGAGGGAGACAAGGACACGATGAGAAACAGCAACTGGATTTGAATCCCGGTCTCATGAACTCAAATCGACGGCACCACACAGCCAGTTGTGTTCTAAAAGGAAACTACTACTTGTCTTTCATTTAAATACTGGCACTGCCTGCCTCTTAATGTAGGTGGCTTTCATGACCTACAGACGTCCAGATATTTATAGGAGGTTGCAACGTAGAGTTTGATGCTTAGCAGGATGTGCCTTTCAGATGCTAATAATAGCTTTGAAGGATAGACACTGGCATTCACGATGTGGCTTTTAAAAGCGGTCCCGAAAGGAAAGACTACAAAATCTAAAACTGCACCACATTTAAAATTCGGCAAGCTAGATTTAACTTTCTTCCTTCCTTCCCCATTTCAGTTAGAATCAGATCTTCACAGATGTTGCCCATCCTTCCATAAACACAGGAGTTATAAAAAAATGTATTATGAGAGTTTGTTACAAATAAATTAAACAAAATGATGTACACTAAACCAAAGCGAATGGTTTATCTATCCAAGCTGTTGCAGAGGTCATAAAGAATTTCTAGAATTGGCAGGGCTTGGTTTTGGATTTCTCTGACCAAGCCATCATCTCCTCGTTGCGCCCACCCGCGCTGCAGTTCATGGGGGCCGTGTGGTTTCACGACGGGGAAAAAGTACATCTTGTCTTAAGAACGTCACGAAATGACACTTGAGTGTCTTGCAAAAATGTGTGCTTCCAAGCTGGTCGTGCCTCACACTGGGCTTCCCTCCGGTTTATTCTGCTCAGCTTGCCGTACAGCCTTGATATCGTAGGCCCAAGCTTGGTCCATGCCTTCCCCGGCCATGTCGACGGGGGCCCAGCTGGGGAGGGGAAAGCGCCCGGCAACGACCCGAGCATCATCAGGAAGCTCCAGAAGCAGTTTTCTTTCCAGAAGCAGAAGCTGGGAATGGAAAGGCAGAAGCTGTGTTATCCTGGGTGTGCCTTTTCCCCACCCTGCTCCCATTTTTACATGAAAGGCTATTTTGTCCCACCCTGCTCCCATTTTTACATGAAAGGGTATTTTTAATGGGGTGAAGTCATCCCTTCTCAGAGAGTAAAGATTTCTTTCTGTTTCCTCATACATACACACTAACTTTAAGATTCGGCTGTGAAAGGTCAAGGAAGAAATTATGAATCAAGGGCTAGGACACATATAAGGTGACCCATGGCCTCTCAGAAAACACTCTGCGATCCTCTTGGGGGGTCAGGAACCAGAGGTTGGGTTAAGGAGACCGTGTGCGTCATGATCTTCTCCACTTTATTATAACGTGCATGTGTCCAGATCAAAGGACATAAAAGTAACACTCCATTCTGCTTTGGTGAGACCTCAACCGGAACACTATGTCCCGTTTCAGCTATGCTGACTATGAAAGCGACATTCTAAAACCCTTGTTCTGGTTATTTTTCTTAAAAATAATCATGGGCTATCCATTCTGATTCATGGCAACCTTTTCAGGGTTTCCCAGGTAGAGCCTATTCAGAAGTGCATTACCATTCTCCTCCTCTAGGGGCGCTCTGGGACTACTGTGCAGCTTGCCCAAGGCCACCCAGGCTGGCTTTCCTCGTAGGATGCCCAGTGGGGGAATCAAACTCCCAACCTCTGGCTCCCAGCTGGATACTTAAAACCACTAAGCTCTCAAGTCAATCCAAACGGCACAACATTCTCTGTGCAAGCTTTTAACATTACAGGAAAAGGTCAGAGTCTGCTTAAGATTCTATAAAGAGACTGTTAGGAAAAAAAGGGGGGGATTTGTTACTTGCAAAATGAAGAGGCAATGTTTATGGGTTTTTATGGCCTTTCTTATTCTCGTTAGAGGCGACCGAGAAAGGAAGCTTTGTCTAAAACTTGGGAGGAACTTCTGAACAATGGAATGGGCGACTTTGAAAGACGGTGAACGCTGCTTCACTGGAATCTTTAAAAAACAGAAATTGGACAGCCACCTATCCTGGGAAATTTGAGCTGCCTTGTTTTGACATGCGACTGGGCCATGGATGGACCTACCAGCTTTATACAATTCTATGGCGCTCCACGGGGTCACGAAGAGTCGGACACGACTAAACAGCTAAACAACAAAAATTGTCTCACCACACTCAACATAGACCTTGAATTCTGGCAGCTACCCATGCTGGGCAGAGGATTCTGGCAGCTGTCATTCAAAAGAGGGAAAACCCCTCTCCCCCCACCCCACTCCCGGTTCAAGTTCTGGATTTATCTTAGCTGGAAGAGTAACTGAGTCTTGCTACCTCTGCTTGTGAACAGACAGGGCACTTACCACGCTGGGAGCCAGAAACACCGTTACGTTCTTACAGTCTGATAGCTTCACCTTTTAAGAAAGACACAAAGACCGTTAGACAGAGTTGCTTTAATTTTGTCCCTTGCGGCTTCAGTTTAAAGAACATGTAAAACTCTTGATCTGCAACCGAGGTCTGAGAGATCCACTATCATCCAGGGCAATCTATCGGAGAAGGCAGCTGCGGTTCAGATCCAGCTCTTAACCAGCCTCCCCCTTTTTTCCTGCTGTTATTTTTATGGTGACTTACCATTAGCAGAAGCTTCTATGACCACCAATTCACCTTTTATATACTATCCCCTGTAATGCTTAAATCACTCTCTGGGTGGTATACAATTTAAATATTCAGGCTACACATGGTGCCCCTAACTAGCTGGGTCCTCAATTTACTGACCTTGGAAGGACAGAAAGTTGAGTCAACCTTGAGCCAGCTACCTGAGCCTGGGATCAAAGTCAGGTCGTGAGCAGAGTCTTCGCTGCAGTACTGCAGTTAAACCACCACACCACCAAGCTCCTATACCTATTCTATCCCCAAACGGAAAGAAATGGCCCTCAATCCCCATGAAGATGCCTTTCCTGTTTTCTCTGGTCAGCCTTCCTGGAGCACAACCGCCATATCAACAGGAACCTCTGACTCACCTTCCAAAGATCCTCTTGGCGATAAGAAACCTTTCCGTAGCACCCAGCCTTCCAGGCGTGATAGTTGGAGAGCCGCAGCAGCCAGGGGTTGAGTTCGTAGCCAATAGCCGGCCTGAAGCCTTGCTTGTAGGCTTCCAAGACCTGGAAGCACAGCCAGAACATTCACTGATGGACTGGAATGCTGTTCCTAGGAAGTTGGCTAAATATATCTAATCATAAGGGTGTGCCATCAAGTCCATTATGACTTTTGGCAAACCCAGAAATACCTATTTACAGTACAGTGGTGCCCCGCATAGCGACGTTAATCCGTTCCAGGATTAACGTCGCTATTCGGAAACATCGCTAAACGGAAAGAAAAACCCCACAGGAATGCATTAAACGCCGTTTAATGCGTTTCTATGGGGCCCAAACTCACTGGTAAGCGAAGATTCCCCATCCGGCCGCCATTTTTGCCGCCTCGGTAAGCGAGGGCAGGGCGCGAAAATGCTGCCGTCGGCCATTTTCTGCACCCGCCGGCCATTTTGGAATCGCTGATCAGCTGTTTTTAGAACATCGCAATACGAAGATCGGTAAGCGAAACGCTTACCGATCATCGCAATGCAATGTTTTGCCACCTAAAACATCGCAATGCGATCGCAAAAAACACGTCGCTATGCGGATTCGTCGTTAAACGGTGCACTCGTCATGCAAGGCACCACTGTATATGTATTTCTGGGGTGTATTTACCAGAATTGGCCACTAGGAGAAGTCAGAGACTGTACAATTTGTAGTGTTTGATACTTGTATGTTTTCTGGCATCCGCGGGAGGAGTTAGGAACCAAACCCCTATGGATACCGAGGTCCAACTATATATTACAGTGGCTGTTTTCCCTTTCCCATGGGCCTACCCAGCCTCTTGCGATACCACAGTAAAACAGCTCCCGGTGCTTACAATTCTGCCATCTCCTGACCCCAAATCCACCATCTTCCCTGAGCGTCCTTTCAGCAGCGACATCACGCTTTCCACTTGCTTCATGCTGGCTGGGACATAGGGCACCTGGATGAGAGAAGGGTCAGAAAGGCAAATGCATGAGTTGGTAGGTGCTGTATAGTTCCCAAGACAGAGCAGCACATATGTTGGTTGCATCGAAAATTAGTGGGGGAGATATCCAGACAGTGAGCAAATACAGTGGACCCTCTACTTGTGGAATTAATCCGTATTGGAACGGTGGCTGCAAGTCGAAAAGGCTGTAGGTCGAATCTCCATTGACCTACAATACATTGAAAACCGATTAACCCATAACTGGCAGTTTTTATTCTATTTTTGTTCCATTTTGGTTTTTTTCTGGTCTGTAAGTCGATTCTCTGCAAGTCGAATCTAAATTTTGCAGCCAGAGAAGTCTGTAACTCGAAAAGTCTGTAAGTCGAGCCGTCTGTAAGTCGAGGGTCCACTGTAGGTGAAGCATTTCAATAGAACGTGTGATGGTATAATTTGATTAACTCATTAACAAACCAGCTCCTTTTGGTGGGAGATAAGCCCTTTAAAAAAAGTTGTGAATAACAGAAAAAATAATAATTTTCCAGAGCTTTAAAACCCCTTCTGGGGGGAACTTTTGCCACTTTAAAGAATTTCTTCATGCTCTTTTAGGTTGTGTTAAAAATGCAGACTTGAGGAAAAACTTTCAAACAGCTGGGCATCCAAATAAATTCGAGAGTCTGCTGCTACTAGTTTCTCTCTCTCTCCCCACGCCCTGTTTATGTCCCAACATACAGTCCCAATTACCTAACATTCCTTGTCTACTCTCATCTTTTCCTTCAAAACTAAAAATGCCTCTCTTCCCTGACGACAAGTGGTTCCCAACCTTGGATGCCCAGATTTTCCTGAACTACAACTCCCAGAAGCCTCCAGCACTCACTGTGCTGGCCACGACTTCTGGGATTTGCACCCCAAGAACATCTGAGGACCCAAGGTGAGGAAGCCCAGCCATAGAATGCTCATCCGATTGTCCGCAGCTCACCTGTAACCGTAAAGGCACTTTTCGGAATCCGGGCATGAGAACGCCTGCCCATACCAGGTAGGCGGCCAACCCGGTGCCTGCTGCGATCTGGGCAAGAGCCCAAGCATCCACAGTTTGTCCATGCAACTCGGCCACCACTTCTTCTGCATCTTCAGGATCCATGTCTGCAAAAGCAAAAGGATTTGTAAATCCAGAGGAGACATGGAAGATACATCAAGGTGGGGGGGGGAGAGGAAGAGAGAATTCCCCGGGGGCTATCTTCTTCTCCGGAGGCAAGTGGAAACATATGCAACACAAAACCTAGCATTTAAAGTGCACAACACTCACTTTTGCTGTAGAAAATTAATGTGAATACACACTCCAGATAATTCCAATCTCCAGCTGCCTCCGTCGTAACTTTAATACAACAGCGCTAATGCAGCCTCCAACAACTCATGAATTGCTTTAGCAAGGCCTGCCAAGACTTTGGATTAACAATCAGCCTGAAAAAAACACAAGTCATGGGCCAGGGCGTGGACTCACCTCCCTCTATTACCATCTCCACACAAGAATTGGAGGTTGTTCATGACTTTGTGTATCTTGGCTCAACCATCTCTGGACACTCTCTCCCTAGATGTCGAGCTGGATAAATGCATTGGCAAAGCAGCTACCGTGCTCTCTAGACTCACAAAGAGAGTATGGCTCAGTAAGAAGCTGACAGCATACACTAAGGTCCAAGCCTATAAAGCCTGTGTCCTCAACACACTCCTGTACTGCAGTGAGTCATGGGCCCTTCGTGCATGGCAGGAGAGGAAGCTGAACACATTCCATATACGTTGTCTCTGACGCATGTTTGGTATCACCTGGCAGGACAAAGTTCCAAATAGAGTAGTCCTAGAACAAGCTGGAATTTTTAACATGTATACATTATTGAAACAGCGAGGTCTACTTTGGCTTGGGCATGTCGTGAGAATGGCTGATGGTCGGATTCCAAAAGATCTCCTGTATGGAGAATTAGTGCAGGGAAATCGCCCCAGAGGGAGACCACAGCTGCGATACAAGGAGATCTGCAAGCGGGATCTGAAGGCCTTAGGAATGGACCTCAACAGATGGGAAACCCTGACATCTGAGTGTTCAGCCTGGCGGCAGGCGGTGCATCACAGCCTCTCCCAATTTGAAGAGACTCTTATCCAGCAGGCCGAGGCAAAGAGCCAGTCCCAAAACCAGCAAAATCAGGGACCTGGACAGGGGACAGACTGTATTTGTCTTCAATGTGGAAGGGATTGTCACTCTTGAATTGGCCTTCTCAGCCACAGTAGAAGCTGTTCCAAGTCCTCCATACAGAGCATGTTACCATAGTCTCTTGAGACTGAAGGATGCCTAATCTAAGTGAAAGGCTGTGTGACACTCTCTCCAGGAAGATATGGAACCACCTCATCTGCATTCTTTATAGCAAATCAGAAAATTGAGAACAAGATCTTCATTCTGAAAACCCCAACAAACATCCACCTTCAGGAAGGGGTTCCCTTCAAAAGCACAGCGTGGAAAGAAATAGTTAACACCCCCTTTTCATGCTTCCTGAAATACTGAGTTATCAGCTAGCTCTTCCATGTTTTCTCTATTTAGCAAAGCTTAAACCATTTCCTCACCACAGTTATTACTTCGCCTCTACAAACATGCCACACTTCCTTATTGTTTGGACAGCAATCATGACACTCACCGCCTCTGACTAAATGTTAAGGTGATCCACCATTCACATTTTTTTCATCTAAGCTCTGTATCAGCTGTTACCTATCTTATCTTCCAACCACCAGGCAAACAAATAAATCAGTAAACCAATCAACCCAGTAACACAAAAGGTCCATTCAAAGCAAGCTGAAAAACAATTTTCAATGCAATCCTAGGTAAATCCACTTGGGAAATAAATCCCATTTTATCCCATGGGGCTTGCTCCCCGATAAGAAAGAAGATACAGGAGCGCAGGATAATTGTCCTACGACCTTAGTTGTTAAAGAAATAATTTCCTCAGTCATAAACACAGCCAAGGTTGGAACAAAAGGTCCATTCAAAGCAAGCTGAAAAACAATTTTCAATGCAATCCTAGGTAAATCCACTTGGGAAATAAATCCCATTTTATCCCATGGGGCTTGCTCCCCGATAAGAAAGAAGATACAGGAGCGCAGGATAATTGTCCTACGACCTTAGTTGTTAAAGAAATAATTTCCTCAGTCATAAACACAGCCAAGGTTGGAAATAAAGCCTCTTTGGTCTGTAAACAATGGCATAATACATTAAGATTTGCAGCCCTCCAGATGGATATCCTCCTGTTATTACCTGCTCTCAAGCCAACACTGTTTTAGAATATAGCGCTCACAACTATCTTTGCCATGGACAGGTTAGCTTGGGGGGCGGGGGCGGGGGGAGGATGCTGGGAATCCCAGTCCAGAAGAGCAACTCCTCCCAGTTCAGCCACTCCTGATGGTTACTGGGTGTCTTTGAGCCAGTCTGTTAGGGGTCCCCCTTGCAGGGGTGTGGGGACGATTCAAGGAGAGGGAGGACCCTTGACTGCAGGCTGCCTTGAGAGCTTTGGATAAAAGATGGGCCGGGAAGGACACAATAAAATGAAAAAAAAAACCACTGTATGCTCCTGAATGAAGGAAAGAAAAACACTGGGTAAAAAACTCGCTGAGTACTTTTAAGAACCAACTAAAAACATGGATGTATAGGCAGGCCTTCCCTTCCAGTTAATTCCTGTCCTCTTTCCTTCCCCCCCCCCTTTATTTGATTTATTTTTATTTTTCCCATCTTATAGAATCATTTAATTAATTAATTGTTATAATTTTTTTTA